AAAGGACAACAGAAGGAAATACTGCCCGGTCCCGAGCCATCTTCACAGTGGTTCTTACGTTGGAGCCCGTTGCTGTGACCGCTGCTACAATCCATCCCCTCGAAGGCCTTCCTCTGTGTCACTGCCCCTCTACGTTAGCAAGCACGATGTGCTTTGCCAGGGACTGATCTCTCCTGAAAACCTGCCCAAAGTCTCCGAGATGCAATCTCACCATCCTTGCCTCTCAGAAGCACTCTGGACTTACTTCTCCCAGGACAGATCTGTTTGTTCTTTTGGCAGTCCGTGGTACTGTCAGTATTCTTCGCCAGCGCCATAGTTCAAATGGATCCGTTTTTCTTTGGTCTTCCTTATTCAATGCCCAACTTTCACATGCATGGGAGGCGATGGGAAATACCATGGATTGGATCAGGCGCACCTTCATCCTCAAAGTCACATTCTTGTTTTTCAATGCTTTTTAAAAGAGGTCTTAGGCAGCAGATTTACCTCATACACCCCCTTTCATTGCTGCATAACCTATAGTGTAACCCCTTCCTGTGATGTATGTCTTTACCTGTAATTAGTGGGTTTGCATGCCCCCCAAAGGTATATAGGCCTGGGTTAGTAAGAGAGGCCTCTCTCACTCTCTCAGCTCCTCCCTTGACCTCTCCTTGGCTCTATCTCCTCCCCTGTTTCTCTTTCCCCTTGTCCTCCTTCCCTTCCCCCTCTCTCCACATGGACCACCAAGCAGGGCTGAGGTGAGCATTGCTACCATGGAATGTGTCTGACTCCATTATTTTAATATCTCTTTTATCTCTCATGCTCTCAATGACTTTAATATAATATTTATATATCTCAACCATACAATTGTGCTTACTGAACCCATGATTCGTGGTGGGGGCTGGCTCCCCCACCTCATATCACAAACCTCTGTGAGAGCCTCTTTCTCCCTGGAGGCAGGCCACACTCCCTCTCTGCTTGACCTTCCTGTTGATGAGCCATGCTGATGCCAACCACAACTCTGGAGATTCATCCACCGCCTTGGCTCTATGAGACTTTGCACCCAGTGGCCCGTGATCTTCCTGGATTCTCCAGCATTGCGTGTGGCTGTGTGAGTCTGAAGAGGAATGTATGGAGTAATATTGGACTTAGAGAGCAGTGTCAGATTAATGGACTTGATCTGGACTGGACTGGGATGTTTGCTTGATCTATAATTACTTCTTGATATAAAGCTCTCTCTTACACACACACACACACACACACACACACACACACACACACAAAGAAACATCTGTTAGATCGAGAACATTTATTGGAACTTCATAAATGCTACTGCAAATCAACAGTGCTTTAAGTTAGGGTACATTTGGCAAATAAACTTTTCTATAACCAACTGAGTAACTGAATGCCCAGTGGTTGTTATTGTTAGCTGCTGTTGAGTTGATTCGAGCTCATGATGACCTAAGGCGTAGGGAACAGAACTGGTCCCCGGGGGATCAAGGATGTTAACTTTTGGAAGCAGCTCACCATTGATTTCTCCTTAAGTAGCTTTGAAGTTGAACCACCAACCTTTCAGTTAGTAGTGAAGCACTTAACCATTTGTGTCACCCAAGGGCTCCTGTCTTATATAGACGTCCTCGGTCCTTGACCAGTAGATTTGGCCTCGGGGTCACCTTGTACCAATGTGGCACGGTAACAACGTTCTTCACAGGACTTTTTAATGGCTGAGCTTTCTTCTGAGTTGCCTCTGAGTGGACTTGGACTGCTAGTCATTCAGTTTGTACCCAAACATTTTAACCATGCATGACCTAAGGACTTCAGCAAACGGATACTAATGGCTCATCCTGAAATCAACTGTAAGAATTACCTCATCAAACCATTGTAAACTGCAAAAGCAAATAGCTGCTACCAGGCCACCATGAACCCACTGCCATTACGTCCATTTGGACTCGTGGTGACCTTGGAAGAGAGAGCAAACTGCTCCTTTGGGTTTCTGAATCTATAAATCTTTGTAGAACAAGCAGCCTCGCTGTTCTCCTAAGGATCTGCAGGTGAGTTTGAACCACTCACTGAGCTATCAGGGCCCCTGCTACACGGCCACAGCTGATCATGACACAGCACTTCTTTCTCTTTCCCGGCATTAGCCATGCATGTAGCCGGCATTATTAAGCCTGGTCAGTTGGGTAAGAACGCTTTGGATTCGCATGGTTAGGGGATATTGTGTGAAAATTTACTTCTGTCTAGTGAGTCACTTCACAACCACATTATAAAGCCACATCATTGTGTCCATAAACCATCTATAGCTTAAAATCTCTCAAACAAATGTAATCAGGTCTTATTTATGCACAATGCCCCAAGATCAAGGAGAGTTGGTAATACTGCTGTTGGGTAAGCAAGGGGGTGATAACTGTAAGGCCAGTGGTTCAAACCCACCATCTGATATGCATGAGAAAGATGAGGCTGTCTAGTCTGTATAGATTTATAATCTTGGGAACCCTAGATAGGGTCACTAGGAGTCAGAATTTACTCAGTGGCAGTGGGCTGGATCTTTTTGGTGGTTGGGTAGTAGAGGCAAAATGAAACCATCAGATATCAGGAAGCATTTTTTTCCTAATTACTTCTGTAGCTAATGTATTTACATATAACTTCCAAATATCTCACTCACCAATGCAAAATGTAGAAAGAGTCCAATTAGCCACATGATTGAGAGGGATGAAGTGACTTTATATCCTTGGCCACTGAATTCAAAACATCCTGTTAAGCTGAGAGTCAAAGGACACTTGGGAATGCTATCACTTAGGAAACAGGAAGCTAAGACACTGAGAAATAAAACCATAACCACGAGGTCAGAAGTTCAAAACCACCAGCCACTCCCCTGAAGAAAGATGAGGCTTTCTGTTCCCATAGAAAGTTACAGCCTCTGAAACCCACAGAGGCAGTTCTACTCTGTCCTCCACAGTCACTAAGAATCAGAATCAACTCAATGGCAGCATGTTTGGTTTTTTAATCCACTCAGTTCCAATGTACAGGTGAGACTCATTTATGCGATAAACTTTATATAGAAATGTTTTTCTAAAAATGAATATATTTACTTTTCATTCCTCTTTTTTTTTTTTCATGCAGGGTGAGAAAGTAATTCCAGAGCTATTCCTAATACCAGATTATGGAAAGGGGGTGGGAGCAAAAGGGATTACAGGGATCTCATTTTGCAAGTTCTCTGATTGGCTAACTTCTGGGCCACAAACGTTGAACAAGCATCCTGCAGCTTGTCATCTTGTTCGTTGGCGCCAAGTTTGTCCCGACTCGTGAATCCCCTACCCGGGCCCAGCAGGATGGCCCAAGAGGCCTTTCAACGCTGTGACCTCTGGGAAGCAGACCATCCGGTCTGTCTCCCAAAGGGCTTCAGGGTGGGTTTGAGCCAGGAACCTTTTGTCTAGCAGTGGAACAGTCAACCACTGGCTGTACCTAAGAACCACTGCTCACTGGCATGGAGTTGATGCAGACTCAGCGGCCCTCTAGGACAGAGTACAACTGCCCCTGGGGGGTTCTTAGACTGTCACTGGTTATGGAAGTAGAGAGCCCAGTCTTCCTATTGCCGAGAGGCTGGTGGTTTCGAACTGATTGCTTCGCAGAACACGGCTCAAGGTGTACCTAAAGCTAATGCTGATGAACATGTGCCGTGTGTGACTGGTATTGCTGAATGTTGTTTCTTCATCTGTCCTTTTCTGTGACAGCATGATGCCATGGGCACTCTCAAGACCTCCACTTCGACACGAGGAAACGGAGGCATAACAAGATTAAGTAGACATCACCGTTTTCTGATGGCTGAGATTCACTCCTCACTGTATTCTCAGTATTCTGAGCTTCACCGATATTAGAGTTACCTGAGAGTGGGAAAGGCAGGAGTCAGAAGTGGTTTTGAATCTGGGTCAAAGTCTGGAATTCTGAATACATTGCTGGCATTACCATGCTGCCTTGCCACTTATCTCAGAAGCTTAGCAGTTAAGGGGAGCAGTTAACTAGGAATGTCAGACAATTCAGTGCGTATTTTAAAGCTCTGTTAATATACAGTCTCCTGCAAAGAGTTACAGTCTTTGAAACTCACAGGGCCAGTTCTATCCTATCCTCTAGGGTAGCCACCAGGCTCTGAGCCTGGAATCGACTCAGTGGCAGTGGTTTGGCTTTAATATGCAGTAGCTGCTTGTGTGGTTGGAGTTGTGGTAGTAACCAGATTCCTGGCTTGTTAGTAAAGGCGTTGAACTCATATCCTAAGAACAGCTGGCAAAACAAACACTCTCACTGCCCTCCAGTTGATTCCAACTCACAGCAACCCTACCGAACAAAGTAGAACTGCCCCTGTGGGTTTCTGAATCTGCAACTCCTTACAAAGTAGAACGCCTCCTCTTTCTCCCCGAGATCCTATCTGGCAGCACCAAAGAATACTCTGACTTCTGAAAACAGTAAAATCGGTGGAAAGTAATTGATCACTTCCTTTTCCCATCTCAGAAACCCACAGGGACAGTTCGACTCTGTCCCATGGAGTCACTATGACTCCACTATCAGAATCCAATCAATGGCAGTGAGCTTGGTTTTGGTTTAACTCCTGCAAAGTTTGTGGGGTTTTTTAAGCCTTTTATCTTTTCATCAATGTAACGGCAAAGATGGTCTCTAGTTGAAGATTCTTCCATCTTATTATTGAGCATGTGAGTCCAAGGGCTTGGCCTTCTAGTCCGTTTCCTTTAAATAGGCTATGCTTGCTGGCACCACTGGGGTTTAGCAGTGGTCACATCTGCCTTTAGAGTCACTGCTTCTTTGGGCATCGAGTCTCACAACCATTCCATAAACGACCGACAGCCCAGCCAAGGCCCTGCTCTCTACGGGAATGAAGAGCGCATCGCTGAAGGGGCAGGAAAAGACTCCGGGCTTCCGTTTCTCGAGCATGGGCGAGAACTAGCTGTGCAGATGCACAGTGTGTCACCGGGAAAGTGCATCAAATTTGTGGAAACCGCACCATCACACGCATGTAGCAGTAAGTGGCTTTATTGACGTAACTGGACATTACAATGTAGAACACTTAGCCATCTCCCACTGAAAGACCTTCCAGTGACACTGTTAAATAGGGCCCGGAGGCAGGCATTGAGCATTTTTCAGGATGCTCTGCATTTGAAAGGGTTGGTGGTGGCCCAAGATGCCAAAAGTCTTCTCCTCACTTTCAACTGGGACTCGGGATCACACTGCTGTGCCAAAAACCAGCCAGGGGACAGAGTAATTCCACAGAAGAAAAAACAAACAAGCTAAAGGAGAGTGCCAGAGCATGAAGGTGTTGGAAATAAGAGTCAACAAATTTACATTTCTCACGTACGATATGCTCTGCGTAGACGCTTGGCCTCTGTGGCCAACTGTGCCGCTTTCCTCTGGATTGTTAAGTTCTGGCCGCGCAGATAAATAAGGCTGTCAGAAAGACAGCTGCAGTCGAAGTGGTCTGGACATTTCCTCGTCTGAACATAAACAAAGACTGGCTAATTTAGATCCCTGGCCCCCTGTTTCAGCTGTTCCAGGCCACACAGAAAAGGAGTGGACAGGGGTCGAAGAATCCCAGGCCTCTGCTGACTCCCCTGAGCCATCAGGATGTCCGGGGCTTGCAGGACCTGAACAAAGGAGTCACTGTTGGCCTTAGCACCAGTGTAGTGTGGTGACCTGTCACTGAGACCCAGCTGGGGAAAACAACCACCGTGCGCACAACCTCCCAGTGACGGCATTTGGAGACTCCACGCAAAATGACTCATGTAAACGGAACACCACGTTTAGTGTCAAATATGTATTTCGAAAGTTCCAGGGAAAGAGATTCTCCCAGATAGTTGAAAAACACCAAGCAAATATAGGCGCCTAACCCTAAATTTAAAACAAAGCAACAAAAAAGCATTTACAAGAGATACTGCCGTTCTTAGCTAAGAGATAAAATGCAATAACATAGTAAAACACTGCGCAGTGGAGGGAATAATTCTCAGAGATAGGATTGCTTCACAGTGAGGTCTAAGTACTCATAGAATCTCCTGGTCTTTGTAGAAACAGATACCCAATGACGTACTTTTTGGATCACACACCCCCACCCATAATCTCCCCCCACCCTACTATTCCATAGAGGGGTAGAATAAGCCATTGTGAGCAAACATTACACTAGCAAATGACAAGTCAACATGTCGCCTTGCTCTCAGAGTTAATCAATCAACCGCACATCTCCAAAGGGGAGGACACAAGCCGCTGTGGCCCACTGACACAAACAGGACCGCCACGCCACATCTGTCCCCATCTAGACCCACTGTCGGAGATGTAGGACGCCCCGTGGGGTCTGTCCAGCTACATCCACCTTACATTCGCTATCCAGTCCGGCATTTCCACATAAAGGTTTCTAAAAAAAATTAAATCAAAATATCACATTAGCCACTGCGATGGAGAAGTCTCACAGGTGGGCTGCTCCTGAGAATGCCATCTTGCTTACTACCCAGAGTCAGCAAACCACCTTCTCACGCGAGAATGTTACAAGAAAATTGGTTGAATGCCACCAAGTCCAACAAAACTAGTCCTTGGGTCAATTGGTCAGTTTGTTACATACGCGTCAGAGCTCTCCACGTTGTTTAATAAAGGGAAAAGCCAAACCCACGGGAGTGTCTCTTATTATTTCAACAGGACAGGCTGGTGTCCTGAATGGCTTTATCAGCCAACACGGGTGAGGTACTTGGTGAGGGTATTAAGCTTTGCCACCTGTTAACCCCACCACCCTCCTGGACAGAGACCACCAAACCAGATGCCAAGCCTTCTTTGTAAAGGGAACACGTCCCTTCTTCCCTTAAACAGAAACAAAACGGTGTGGCATTAAGCAAAGAATAAGTGTGCACACAATTCTCCTTTCTCCTGAAAAGGGGCCAAGCTTATTGCATTGGGATGCCACCAGAGCTACTCCCACAGCTGTGCCCAGCCAGACCTCAGGCAGAGAAGACCTCCCAGCTGGGCACCCCACCGTCCACTTGTCCCCTGCTCTGGGCCTTGACCACCATCTGCCATCCGTTTCCTTCCTGAGGGGTGCAGGGCCTTGAGGGTGGTGTTCACAATGGCTCTCTGTCCCCGTTGCCCTCCGCCTTGGCACCTGCATAAGAGGGGGACATCTGATAAAAAGGGAGCTTTCCCTGAGGTGGGTTGACGGGGTTCCCAGGGGGAGGTGGCGGCGCCTCAAGGCCAAGGAGATGGTGTCCGAAAACCCTGGCCGCCCTAGCCCTAGTCTGCAAACCGCTGCAAGAGATGGTCTTCTCTCCTCAAGCTGCCACCCCCGCCCCCGCCTGTGCTGTCCATGAAGCGGTCGCAGGGGAACTCGATGAGGTCGGCCTCGCTGAGCGCGCACACGGTGGCGCGCGGCCGGTGCGACTGGAACCCCCCGAAATCGGCGGACACCCCAGTGCCCATGGAGCGCAGCGGCCGTCGGGTGGAGTACATGTGGCGAACGTGCACCGGGGCGCCGCCCTTCCGTCGGGCCCGCAGCTTCCTCCGCAGCCAACGCGAAGCCCAGGCAGTCAAGGCCAGGAGCACCAGCAGCGCGTTCACGGCCAGCAGGGCTAAGGTCAGCAGCTGGTAGTCCACACTGCCGCGGCTCCCGGGTTCCGGCAAGGTCACCAGGCCGGCGCAGTGGTCCCTGGGGGCCACGGGGCACACCCGGCCCCCGAGCACCCCCTCTACGCACACCAGGTAGGGGGTGTCCCCGCGCAGCTCGCGTAGCGTGGCCGAGTCGCTGCGCTCGGGCAGGTAGACGAAGCGGTGGAACTTGGGCTGTTGGCCAAAGCGGTCGAAGAGCAGGCGGAAGCGCGCGCCGCCCAGAGGCCGGGGGCTGCGGTGCTCGCGCACAGCCCAGCGCACGGCGGCGCTGTTGGCGCCCACCGCCTCCACAGTGAGGTTGCACAGGATGAACTTGTTGAAGTCGCACGGGTCCGACACTAGCGGGGGCAGGCCCAGCCTGCCAGACTGAGCGGCGCGCTCCTGCAGGTCCGTGGCCAGGCTCTGCTTGGCGGCGAGTTGCCAGGGCTCGCCAGCCTGAGAAGGAGGAGCGGAGCCCTCCGCTGCCGTCGGGGTGGGCTCCCCAAGTGGGGGGTCGCCCCGGGTCGGGCGTCCCACGTCGTGACGGTTGCGCAGGTGCGGCCCCGGTCCGGGGGCGGCGGAGGGCGGCGGCAGCGGCGGCGGCAGGAGGCCCGGGCCCCGCCTGCTCAGCCTGAGGACACTGCGGTTGCTGACCAGCTCCCTGGCCGCCCCCTCCCATGGCATCCCAGGCAGAAGCCGCCCGCGCTGCTGGGGCTGTGGCAGCAACTCTCGCGCCAGGCCGCCTGTGGAGGGCGCCGTCTCCTTCCCCACGGTCGGGGGCGCTGCCGAGGGCGAGGGGTAGGCGCAAGAGCCATTCTGCAACTGCTGGTCGTCTAGGTAGTCCAGGTACTTGCCCCGCAGGGCCGGAGGGTGGCGACACTGCACGAAGACGGTGAGGAGCCGGCCCTGCGAATGCCAGTTCCCCATCCAGTGCTTCAGACCCCGCAGGCGGCAGTCACAAGTCCAGCTGTTGCCATCTAGGTCCAGCCGGTAGAGGGCCGGGCTGGCCGCGAAGATGTCCCCAGAGAGGGCGCTGAGCGCGTTGTCGCGCAGGCTGAGCTCCCGCAGGCGGCCGAGTTGGCCGAAGGCGGCGGGGTGCAGCGCGGACAGCTCGTTGCCGCTGAGGTCCAGCGCCTCCAGGCTGTGCAGCGGCTCCAGGAGGGCCGCGGGCAGCTCATTCAGCCGGTTGCCCTCCAGGCGCAGCTCCCGAAGGGCCTCTAAGCCCCAAAAGGTCTCCGGGGCGAGTTGCGAAAGCTGGTTCCCCCGGAGCGAGAGCAGGCCCAGGCGCGGCAGGTGCTGGAAGATGCGCGGCCCCAGGTGCTGCAGGCTGTTGGCGGAGAGGATGAGGGTGGAGAGGGAGCGCAGGGGTGCGAAGGTGGCCCCGTGGCGCAGGGAGGGCTGTAGCTCATTGGCAGAGAGGTTGAGAAAGCGTAGCTTGCCCAGATGGGCGAAGGCGTTCTTGCCCAGAAAGCGGATCCGATTGGACTCCAGATGTAGGTAGAGCAGGTTGCCCAGCGGGGCGAAGACAGCGTCCGGTAGTGACCCCAGGGCGTTCCCATCCAGCCGCAGCTTGACCAGGCTCTCCAGCCCCTCGAAGGACCCGCGACTTAAGCGGCCTATCTCGTTCCCGTTGGCGTAGAGGATGCGCAACTTGCGCAGCGGGGCCAGAGTGCCCGGGGCGAGCGCCTGCAGGAGGTTGTTCCCCAAATAGAGCTCCTCCAGCCGCGAGAGTTTCTCGAAGGTCTTGGGGTGCAAAGAGCGGATCTGATTGTACTGCAGGTCCAGCCGTCGGAGTTGCCCCAGGCGATGGAAGTCGAAGGCGGTGATGTTGGTTATGAAGTTGCCGCCCAGGCTGTAGGTGAGCACCTCCTGGGGGCTCGGCAGCGAGCTGGTCTTGGGCACAGCGCGCAGCCCCCTGTTGGTGCACAGGAGGTGCTGAGGGTGCTGGCAGTCGCAGCGCTCCGGGCACACGGGCTCGGCCCTCGGCGGGAGCGCCAGGCAGCCGCACAGCAAGAGCAGGAAGCGCACGGCGCGAGCAGCCTCCATCGCCGCCCGCCCTGCGTGCCTCGGCCGGATGGTCCTCTTGGCCCGCCGGCTCTGTGTCTCCTCTGCATTCCCCTTGGCCTGGCCGGAGTCGCTAGGTGGCCTCTTTCGGATTCTGCTGCGCCGTCCAGCCCCTCCTCCGTCCTTTGTCCGGTGGCTGGACCAGCGCTCTCCAGGCGGGATCCGCCTGGCCAAGTCAGGCGGCGCTGGGCGCTCGACGAGCTCCGGGTGCTACTTGTTGCATTTCTGCACAAAACTG